GGGGGTGGGGGTGGTGGGGAGTGGAGTGCAACTGTCCACCATGATTCTGAGCCAACCTAAGAAATGACAAATACAAAGAGTGAAAATTACTTTACCAGACAGAAGCTGGGAATAATTATTTTCTTAGAAAAATATCCTTGAATAATAAGTTTCTCAAGGCATTAGAAAAATAACTTAAATTTATTTTTAAAAGAACATGATTTGCACACAGTTTCAGCTGCATTGAGGTAACATTTCTTAAATTGTGCCAGTGCTGAGAAAGGAACCAGTGAGCACCAACTTCACTGCATGCCCACTGTGCTCCAACGACACTCATTAACAACCAAGATTCTGGCAACCACTATTTCTTTGCTGGGGGCAATTTTTATAATCCTATTAATATTCTCTAAACTGTCCCTGATCCTAAACAAAACAAAGGATCTGTTTTAGAGGAGTGATCATATTAAAGGAAAGTTTCAGTGGTCATACAAGAGGTTTAACATCTAAAGGACCCAAATTATATTTTGCTCAATCCAATTCTAAGTCAGTTACAAGTAAAAAGAAGCCACAAGACAAATTTTCTTTCTGTCTCAGGAGATGAACTAAATGAATGATTTAAATCTAGCTGCTTCCTTAATCCTCACACCAATGATGGAAACAGAAAACAGAATTCTAAACGATCAAGAGTTTCAACTCAGCACACATTTAAAATAACTTAAGAGGTACAACATAGACTGTTCTCTCCTTCAGTCTCAAAAATTCCCAAGTTTCAAAACCACAGAACTAAAATGAACTTATATTATACCACTGGTGCAGCAACTGACAGTTTACTGAACAAACGTGGCCATAGCACATTCAATGTTTCACAGAGATAAGAGGAGACATTTATCTCATCAAGAAACTTACACTCTAGTCAAAAGGATGGTCAAAATGTTTGCCACAACCTTTGTGAATTAATAACAGGTGCAAGAAGCCATATGGTAAACATATACACTGTTTATTGTGGATAATTTTTCTATATTAGCATAAGTATGTCATTTAAAAAAAAAGTAAGTAATTGACAAGTAAATTTACATTCCAAATGGTCACAACATACAAGCCAGGAATGAGAGAATCAAGAAATGAGTTCTGTCCTGATGTTAATAAGTAGGAAGGGAGAGGACAGGCTCCTAACCTTGTCAGACCACAGTGTCCTCAACTATCATGTGAAGAACAGATTAGATGCAGAGTGATAGGTGATTCTATTTCTTCAAAAACCAATTCCAATTAACTGATAATAACTGCCACTAGAGCATTTTGCTGAGACTGTTAGATACCTTCAATAAAAGGCTATGTCCTGTGTTCCCTGCCCTAAGAAGTTGGGGGTTTGAGATGCTTCTGTTAACTTATCAGAATGTTCACTTGAATTGTTTTGCCAGTAGCAGCCATGTGTGGCACACCCCCATACTTCTTCTCAGTGTCTCTTGTGATCATTGGGTGAAATGCAGCTCAAGGAGGGCTGCAAACGGTCGCTGTATAACCAAGCACTTCCCTGATTTTGAAGAACAGACAGTAACCTTTCCTACGTCTTGATGTTTCATATGGAGCCAGCACTGTGCTAACCACTTAACATGTATTAATGCACTTAATTTGTAAACAATTTCCATGACACAGATTCTATTACTATCATCCCTATTTTACAGATGAGAAAAGGAGGCACAACTAAGTGAAGAAATCTGCCCAAGGCTTCACAGCAGGTAAGTAACACAGTGAGAACTTGAACTTCAGCAGTCCAGATCCAGATCTCCCACTTTAAACGACTTCACTTACTGCTTCTCTGTTAACTGTATGGTATCAAACCCACAACTTCAGTTCCATTAATGCCATGCCCTAAGCCAGAAGCCCAGTTTCATGGTGGCGTAAGTCTATTATTTTATCTGCCATCATGAAATGTTTACCCTCTCCAAGGGGCCTGGATTCTGGCAAGCCGGGTTCAAATTATCCATACGTTGGGCTTCAGTAGACTACCTTAGTCAGCATATTTTTTTTAATCAAAATACTTTTATAAGTCATCCATTCCACCACATTAAATACACCTTCTATTTAGCAGAATCCTCAAGAAATGTGAGTTTAAGGTTAAAACAGTTGTCTCATTAACAGAACATTAGTCAGAAAATTGGGAGGAAGAGATGGTTCCTAAAACATAAGTCTTGGAGAGATCAGCATTGAGAAAAGAATCTCTGACAAGAGTCATTTTAAAGGGCTTTGCAATCATCATTCTCAGCAACATGTCTCACAGTACAGGAGTGCAGAAGGCATATGGTCTCTGAGATTTAACAGAATGGTAAATACTAACCATCGCCCAGCATGCCTAGAAGGTTAGTTTCCTGCGTAAATGACATTCTCCTGAGGGGTTGGGGGATGCCACTTTCCGAGTGAGCTGATGACTGTGTAGTTTCATTAATCTTTGTTAAAGGAGCCCTTGTAAACTTGGCCTCCCCAAAATGCAGACTTCAAGGAATAACAGGACAGAGTAATTTTTTGAAGAATGGGTTATATACAAATCGTGCTCCAATGTGTAAATTGTCTTCCGGTGGTCCCGCTACCCCTTTTTACATGTTACTACACTTCAGTGCGTTTCCATGAAACTAACTAACCACCTGACTTGCCTTCAAATTCAAAATACACAGTATCATAAGTAATGGGCAACTCTGTATTTTTTTGTTATTTCCATTCTTTACATCAACAACGCAATAAGAAATTTACACTCATGTGTCTAATCTTTAAAATACACCATAAAAGAATAGAACTACATATGAAATAAAAATTAAATGAATATTAAGAACACTTTGAAAGAATGATAGCTT